GTTCATGGTTGGACTCGATGAGCTCAAAGGATTTTTGCAACCCAGGCAGTTCTGATTCTGTGAATCTGCTACACAAGTGTGCTGGATTAACCCTGCTGCCAGCAGAGCTCATTCATCACCTGCCCAAGCTCCCAAAACCCTGGTGACTCTTGAGGTGAGGAGACTGACCCTGACCCACCACTCCAGCACACACTCACCTCGCTCTGCCTCGGTGCTCTGCATACCAGGCTGTTATCCTTTCCTCCCACATCTCTGGAGTCATCTGGTACAGGTTTATTACCTGAGATACATGGAGAGACAGAGACCAGGTCATGCTGCTGCTCTTGTCACAATCTCCCTAGCCAGCAAGCAAGACAGAAACACCCCAGCCTCATGCAACCCCTCTCCAGCCCCATGTCCAACCTCGAGACAGGCAAAGCACACCCAGCCCCACACTGTGCCGTGACCCAGCGCTCGCTCAGCCCTCCCAAGCACGCAGCACAGGCAAGCTGTCCCCAGGAGATGTCATCACAAGGAGATGCAGGCAGGATGAAACCATGAAAAGAAAGAAAACATTTGCTTCTGGTTTTATTAAAGTGTGTCAGAAATAGACTGAATTCTCCTCACTTGATGTATCTTTTTGGATTGTTTGCCTTGGTAAGGAAGCCCGAGGAAAGCGAAGCAGAGGGGGCACCCCACAGACAGTCCCACAGAGACCCTCTTTGCAAGGGGCTCTGTTATGCAAAACACCACCAAGCTTGGAAACCTTCTTCTCTGCTCGGTTGAGCTCCCTACCCGCTTTGGAAGCAGCTCCTCTTGTGCCAAGAAGCCTCTCTTGTGAACGTTGGGATCGTAATCGCCGTACTGGAAAGAAGCACAGACACAGTGCCCGCCCCACGTTAACACGGGCAAGTAGAACTCTTCACCCTTCCACACTCACCCCTTGGGGAGACAGCGAATGCAGACTGCTTACACCCTTCACGTCACAACCTGTTAGAGCAGAGAACATACTCTGCTCAGTAAATTTAATAACCTTATTTTCTTTGTCATCTGATTGCTCATAGAAACTAACGTCTTCCTCCTATTCATGCAGCAAAGGTGGAGGCAGAACAAAGCTTTCTGCCATCAGTTGATGTCCACCATCTGTCCACCAGTGGGACTAGATGACTGTTGTAGGTTCTTTCCAACTGAACTATTCTATTCTACCCTAATCACAACAGGCAGGAAACACTCTCTCCAGTGCAAGGAAAGACTCAGGAGCTGAGAGGTCCTTGCTATCCCACTGCTACTGAGACAAGGAGTCAAGATATGGACAAAGACCTGTCCCCAAAGACTGATCAATACCAGTAATTGGGGTGAGGGAGATGGTGGTTTCGCTGTCACTTCTCACCACTGTAATGAACAAATATCAACAAAAATTACAGGAGTTACACAGACTCCTCTCAGGCAGGTGTTGGCTTTTCTGCCAGAGGGTCCATTGCTCAACTGGGTCATGGAATCCAATTCAGTTTTGTTAAGTGCATCCAGTAATTACTAGTATTTGTTTAGATTTACATCTTTTTGAGCAGCATAGAAAGTGACTGCGAAATAAAACTGCTTATTAACAGATTGAAAAGCCGAGTGTCCCTGCGGTGCGTGTGAAAATGAATTTACCTCCTGTGCAGCTCAAGAGGGCAGGAAACCGCCAGATAAACGGCACCTCAAATAACCCAGCAAGTTCAAGAGAAGAGGACAAATGATGTGAGGCACGTAGACGAAATGCTGTGATTTCCATTCACCTGGCACACAGGACTTCTGCAGTGACACCACCCAATTACACAAGACACGGCAACGTTTGCTCACCAAGGGACACAGCCCTTCCCTCCCTGCTTTCCTGAACAACCTCAGCTCAGAAAGTACAAAACGGTGACAATTTTTAAAACCCAAGACCAAGACACACACGGTGGTCACGTAATAAGTCAGGAAGCTTTCCTTATCAGCCTCCTTTTAATGCCAAAACCATCATGTCGTACACTAAAACCACAGCTCAGCATCAAAAATCTACACGTAGTACGCCCTTCCCCGCAGCCCAGCGAGCGACGCTTCAGAGATGACAAGCGAGGATTAAAGACTCAAATATTGATTTGGAGCCAATGCAGATGCAAAGGAAGCATGCAACAATCAACACTGACTCAGCCTTCAATTAATAGAACAAAACCACCACGGATTTCATGGGAGGGTGCTGAGCAGCGGCAACTGTCTGTCTTCCAAGGTCTACAGATGCTTGGGAGCTCCTCAGAAAGCAGCACGTTGCAGGTACACGTCCCTTGAACCCACATCAAAAGGGAACAGCAATAAAAACGTGGCTCTGGCAAAGGAAACAACTCCAATAACCTTGGAGAGGCAGAAAATGAATCATTTTTAGGAGATTAAAATAATAGCAAATAGGATTAACACGATTATTTTCTGTTGTGATCTACCGTGGAGAACCAAGACTAAATATGGATTATGTGATTTTCATGTGGCGAAAAATATTGCCACGTCCCAAATGAATATTTGTACTGAGAGGGAGTCTGGATGAGAACATTAATTATTCACAAGTCAAAAATCAACAAATGGCTTAAATACTGCAGTATATGTTGGCTCAAACGATTCCTCAAGTATGCTTTTAAAGATTTTTTTCAATTAAGTCATTACTTCAAAACTGTCATGGAATTTCAGCTCCTGTTAATTGAACTCTATGATCAATATTCACGGTTACACATGGAAGTTGCCTTTACCTCATTCATACACCTGGCTTACATTGTCCTGGATAAACACAGGCACATTCAGCTTCAAACTATAAACACCAAGTATTTGTTTTGAGGAAAAAACATAAAATAAAAGAGCTTTTTGCTGGTGCTATGAGATTTGAAGTGCTGAGAGGGCTGCAGCACGGCAGTGATTCGCAGTTACGGGGCAAGAAGTGGAAGAATCTCCTGGATGTCACCATTTTTTAGTAGATTCCACGTCTCTCCCAGCTATTTAAAATCTGAACCGCCTCCAACATTTGAAAGCAGCGTGGGTGGTTTGAATGCAGGGCTAGAGGGGAAAACACCTAGTAATTCCCCAAATGAACCCAACGATATAGAAATAAATCAGCTTTGATTTTTATGGCCCGCACGCGTGCTTTGTTATTGCAGGTAGGTGTGCAACAACAGCATGAACCAACCTGGCTGTCAATCAAACGGCTGGATCAGATACAAACACATCACTGTGTCAGGCTACTATGTTCCTAATCATGCAAATCAGCACGTTATTAGTGAAATTACTGTGCTCAATGGCCACTTTCTTGTCCAGAAAGGACATCATTACCCTATTTAACTGGAAGGAGATGACCTGCAACATTTTTCTTCCCAGTTCCGTACCAAAGACATGCTTTCAGCTTCCTCCTTTGCTGAAACAAACAAAAAAAAGCAGAAGGGGAAACCCAGCCTGGAGGAGCCTGGAGGGGCAGCAAGGAGAAGCAATGCCTGATGCAGACGTGAAAGCACAGCAGTGAAGATCAGAAAAGGCATCTCTCTGCCACCTTCTCACAATCTCTGTGCAGAATCAAGACGTGCAAGGTTAAGAGAACTGCTCCGACTCGGGCTGATCTCCAGACAGCCGAGGGTCGAGCACACTGAGTGTGGTAGAGAGCACAAGAATCCCTGACTGGTTTGGGTTGGAAGGGACTTTAAAGCTCATCCAGTCCCAACCCCCCTGCCAGCAGCAGGGACACCTTCCACTAGACCAGGTTGCTCAAAGCCTCATCCAGCCTGGCCGAGAACACTTCCAGGGAGGAGCAGCCACAACTTCTCTGGGCAACCTGGGACACTGTCTCACCACCCTCACAGTGAAGAACTTCTTCCTAATATCTCATCTAAATCTCCCCTCTTTCAGCTTAAACCCATTTCCCCTTGTTCTGTCATTAACTGCCCTTATGAAAAGTCCCTCCCCAGCTTTCTTGTAGGCCCCCTTCAGGTATTGGAAGGCCGCTATAAGACGGCACAGCAGTCCCATACCAAATCACAGCCTGTTCCTGACCGCGCGAGCAGAAGCTGTCACAGCCAAGAGTTAACAGTGCTCAATATTTACCCAATGGTTTATTCATTTTGGCAACAGGAAAAGTCATCCCTTATGTATCCTCAGCTCAGCAGGTCAATGGAGAAAAAGCCATGTAAGTGTTTACTCACGCGCTCTAATAAGAGTGACAAATGTTTTACACTAATAGAAACGTTTCTAAAAGCAACTCATCGTTCCCCGGCTGATGAGTCTCTCAAACAAAATACGGTTTCATCAATGTGCAAAACTCTCAAGCAAAACTGCTGGAGAGAGTCCAGCACAGAGCCACCAAGATGATGAAGGGAGTGGAGCATC